CACTCAAGGCACACATTAGATTTCACTTGGTTTAGCTTAATGACTTGATCCCAACTAACTTTATTTTGATTAATGACTTGATCCCAATTGTTTTGGTTATGCTATTAGGAAGACTTTGTTTTTGTATATGAATGGCGCCTACATGAATTTGTGTTATGTTGCTATTAGGAAGACTTTGTTTTTCTGTATGAATTTGTGTTTGAATGAAGTTGCTATTCAGCTTTCTGAAGCAAATGCAGTCAACTATTGAGGCCAATGTCTTTGTTATTCCATTTCATTATCAAATAACACCTAGTACAAATTAATATATCTTAAAAATAACGGCTACAAACCAAATAACAACAATCACAATAACAGTGATATCAATACTAGTGTTTGATCCTTGTCTTCCTTGTCTTCCTTGTCTTCGTTGCCCTGAACTCGTTGATGGATTCTTAATGTTGTATTGTTCTTGGCATGTTGAATCATTTGCATCAGCCCATCGGAAGAATCCACACCCATTACCGGATGAATATTTTTGGCAACCCCAAACATTCTTCCAGGATTAGTTGGTGTTCTTGATGTCTTTAGTTCAGCATATATTCCACAGTAGCAACATCGAACCGTCATTGTGAAGACCAACAAAAATACAATAGAACCACACAAAAAAAAAAGAATGAAACAAAATACAATAGAATCACACACAAAAAAAGATGAGTAGATCGAAGGAAAAATAAAGGCACCAAAATAAAGAGAAAAAAATTTGAAGAGACAAAATCGAGAAAAAGGGGAGGAAAAAGCTCAAATTTATCCAACAATGGTGTTTGAGTGAAAATAAAGAAGAAAGATGGCCTTTAAAGGTCAAAATCTGACCGTTAGTTTATTTTTAAGGCGTCTCACGCTCTTACCTTGTGTGTATCACACGCTCCATGTGGAGTCTGTCCACATAGGATGCCACATCAAAAAAAGTGTTTAAAATGTTGGGTTTGGATGGGTTCAGGGGTCCAGATGACAAAATGGTAAGTAGAAGGGTTCACAATACAAATAGATACAAGTACAAGGGTCCACCAGACCATTTTGCCATTTAAATTTAAAGTTCCTTTTTATTTTGTAAACTCTATGCTCAGTTAAATTGGCTTATCTCCATTTTCTCAAATTCTTACTTGAATGAGAGACATATGACCTAACTTAAAATTTACCGATAAGATTTAAATAACCAAATAAATATGCAGGGGATTAATTATCACCCATGTGAGTATCCATGTGAGTTTTTGTGGAAGTACCTGCATGTTCTACGACACACCACTCTCGATCTATATACTACAAAAAAAAAAAAAAAAAAAAAAAA